TGAAAATGAATTTCTTCATATGAAAATGATAATTTTACTAGCTTCTTCAAGTGAATCCTTGGTATAGTAGAAAGAAATATTTAACGATATAGTTTATTTAAGGATAAGAATCGGAAATGTGTCCGAAATATCTGTGATTTCAGGAAGCAAAATAATTAAGTTTCTTAATGACCATTTACAAATAATATCCAATTCTAATCCAAGGCATCAAGACCAAGATGGTATGGCCTTAAGGTATGATCGCGGTCTTTTTTAGCCGTGTAGAAGTTGTCCGACCTCATTTCCGGGGTACTCTGCTAGAGAAGACATGACAGTTTTCAGCGTCGGACAGTGGACTTAAGGTAATATCATGTGAGAAGAGGTGAATTAATTGTGGTAAATATCTGTTGGCGAGAAATTCAGTAAATGACTAGTATTATTAAACCATAAAATCACCGTTAAACTTAGTTTTAGGGTACTTATTTGAGATGGCCATCAAGGTGTCGTTTGCTTGTGGCTAAATCAGTCTATTCGTTTGAATTTATTTAATTATATAGAAAGAAGTTGAATGAATTTCGCCTACCTATCCAAATACTGTAGGCCAAGTCTATTCGCCTAGTCAGCGCCAATAGCATCTACATGATAACTGACTTTCAACTAATTGAGGCGTATAGCTATTCCGGTGTATTCCAAATTTTTTTATCACCTTAAGTATCCAGGTGACTCTAATCTTTTCTTAAATTATCGCTCATCAACAACCCCATTAGAGCAGATAATAAAAAACTTCGAAATCTTAGGTGTTACAGCTTTTATTTAGGTCGCAGGCTCTTTTCCTTGCATAGAAATGTTGTTGGATGCCAGGAAGACTTCGATAAATGTGCCTGTTCTGGCTCTTCGCCAATATGGTCATGTTTTATTCCAACAAGCACCATAGTTGGGCTCATCTGTCACCGGCACCATCCTTAGCTCTGAGCTATCCCTCGCCAAAGTGGCGAATGAAGTCAAGCTATTTGAAAAGTTTCAGAAGTTAAATCAAAAGCTTCTAAAGTTTATAAAAACATTAAACTTTAGTACATTTTGAGGGGGCTAATGATTGATTTTCAGGTAGCCCGAAGGATAAATAATACACATTAAGATCAGATAAGCGGATCGGCAATTTTAGAGGCTTACATTAGGAGTCATTGCTCCAACCATAAAAGGTGCACCGAAACCAGTTATAGCACTGAGGGAGTTAGAGGAAGCGAACAAAATACCGGAGTACTGGGGTGTCAATTCAATCGGATTAATGAAGGCGCCAGCGAAGACGCCGCTACCCAGGAGCATGCCGACGGAGAGTAAGGCTACAGCAGCGTACTTAATTTCGCAGTTGGTGAAAGTCATTGCAAACATCGCAATACTGGGTCCAAACATACCTTTGCGTGGTTTAGGTAAAAAAGTAAAGATGGATTTGAATGAGGAATAGGAAAGAAGAGACAATCTAAAATTAAAATAACAAAGCAAAATAAAATGTTCAAGAAACTTACTCCCCTTGGTCGCTTAAGATGACTTAAGTAATGATAGTTGAGTCTTCACAAAGTGAGAAGACTAACCTTAAGATGCCATTACATTCCACTGAGTCTTGCCTCCAAGAAGGGCAGCTCATCCAGGCTGAACTGCAGTTCAGACCAAGACGGCATGACCAACGGGATTCGATTCAGGGTTGTGAGTATCATGGCGACATTACCATCCTGTTATGCAGCCCCTCATGCAAGTAGAACACAGGGCAAGTGTGATATTCAAGACATGTTAGTTCTCATTATAATCACATTTTTATTGGGATTGTTGAGTAAATGAGCGTGTGGTTGTTGTAGTCGACGCAGGTACTTATTTTCGATATAAGTAGTTTTAAAACTATCTTGAATTCTTGTATATCGAAAATGTACTTGCAAACAGAATAAAATTCTTAAATAAGAGTTTAGTGAGCCCAGATCGCTTAGGATAATGAAAGGACTGATAGCTAACGTTTAATACAAGGAGATGAGTAGGGCTCAAAACATATTTATATAAAAAATGAGCAACATCGTTAATTGTAATGGCAAACACGTTTGTTTAATCGACGAATCTACGATAAATGTGATTTGTATGAGGGATGAATTAGTTTAAATGTCACTTGATATGAGATCCTTTAAATTTGTGGCCTAGTACCGAATATCATTGGAGGTTCTGATGAGACCTAGGCGAGGTCAAAACTGCAGTCATGCCAGGATGAAGCAGCTCTTTGGGGGGCAAGGAATCATGCGTTCTACCCATCTTATTGTGGAGAATTTCAAATATCAGTAGTAAATCACCTTAAGCGACATAGGGTGACCAATTATATTCTTATTCAACAATTACTGCTCGAGATCAAGAGAAAAATAAAATTTTAAGGATACTGGACAAAAATGAGCAGAAATTCCAGCCTTTCCGAACTAACTCTAAAAAGGATAGAAAATTAATAACCGAGTACACTCAACAATCGGGAATGAAATTTTCAGTATTTGTTGTAGGATATGAATACAACTAGGCATAAGGCTTAAAGATTTCACATGCGAAGAACAGTTGAGTTTCGAGGAATCTCTTGTCTCATAATTGTTGTGCTTACTTCCATTTCGAGTGAAAGTGTTTGGTTTTTATATTTAAGGAAAATTATTCTGACATATACTTAATTGTTTTACACAATTATACAAGAAGTAGCCCCGTTTTATGGTGAACAAAATATATGATATAGAACATAGATAAAAGCGAACGACTAATTTTTTTGCTATACACAGTTTAATAAAAAAAAGTCAGCTTATCAAAAAACGGCCATTTATAAATCTCTGAGGGAACTGTGCTAAATCGTACAAGATATCTTACCAATGCTATTCATCAGCTTGCGGGTGGCTCCAACTGAAAGTAGTTTTTTTTTCAAGATCCAGTCCGATATATATCCCGCCACAATTTGACCCAACCAAAGGGTAATATAGGGCAAGGCAGAAAGCCCGGAATTCTGGAATGATAATTTAAGATGATGAGCTGTGGCTAAATCACAATTAATATAAAATACGAAATTTAAAATTAACTCCTCAGTACAATTTACGATAAGCAAAATAATGATTGATAATGTTTTGTTTTCGATATTTTATGTACTGAGTACGTATATTTAATTAAATATGAATATCTAAGAATAAAAATAATAATTAAACCGTAGATTGAGATATAAAGACGGCCTATTAAGTGGCAAGTAAAAATCAGCAACTGTAAAGTAGCCGAATATTTTGC